TGCTGCTGCTGCTGCTGATGATGATGATGATGATGATGATGAGGAGGAGGAGTAATAATAATGTTAATACTGTTAATACTAACAGCAATGCTAATACGAATAGTAATAATACGAATAATAATATTTTTTCTACTACTACTACGACTACTACTAATACTAATAATACCAATTAATAGTAATATTACTACTGATAATACTAATACTAAGAATAATAGAAATGATACTTATAATACTAATCAACATCATAATAATAGTAATAATAATGATATGAAAAACATGATGATAATGATAATGATAATGATAATAATGATAATAATAATAGTAGTAGTAATAATAATACTATTAATGATAATAATAACAATAACAATCATAATAATATTAATAATAATAATAATGATAATAATAATGATAATACTACTAATACTAATAATAATACTACTAATACTACTAATAAGAATGATGATAATAATAATATTACTAATAATACTTATTATTACACCGCACTCACATCTATACCCCTTGGTGGGTGTATGTGCGGCCGATTTTTGCGCTGTCATGTGCGCGCATGTGCGCGGCATGTGCCAGTCATGTGCCAGGCCTGTGCGGTCCTTCTTGGATGGACTTCCTACTGTGCACGTCGTGCCTGGGCATGTGCGGGGGCATGTGCGCTGTGTTTTGATGTATCCATCATACGCACATGCACGCACAGTCCGACGCACATGCGCGCACATGCCTGCACATGCGGGAGGTGTTCGAGAATCGCAGATCTGTCATCGGCACATGCACGCACATGCCTGCGCAACCTCTCTTCGGGAGGCCGCGCGGGCCCGCACATGCACGCACATGCGGTGAAGCGCGCGGGCGCACATGCGTGCACATCCCAATGCACATGCACGCTCATGCCCTAGGAGCTGTCTGGGACCCCTGTGCCTCCAATGCCTCCTGGCCTTCGCAGAGCTAACCTGGGGCGTGCCAGGGCTTCCTGAAAGAGTTTGTTGTGCGTTTAGACTCGCCCGCTGCTGGCGGGGGCGGTTCTTCGCCCGGTTCGTGAGCTGGCGGTGGCGCGCCCGCCTAATAAAATACTCTGCCGCGCGCCTTCTCAGCTCGGCCGGAGAAGCAGGGATGGGGGGGGGGGAGGTGGAGGGGAGGGGGAGGAGGGGGGGGCGGAGAAGGCGGGCGCCCCCGGCTCGGCTGGCCCGCCTGCCTGTTCGGCTCGGCCAGAGGAGAAGGAGGAGGAGGAGGAGGAGGAGGAGGAGGAGGAAGAGGAGGAGGGGGAGGAGGAGGAGGAGGTGAGAGTTGCGAGGATGTCTCAGGCGAAAGTGGCTTGACGGCCCGTCTTGGCGGCTTCTTGGACGGCCTCGGCGTTATTTTTGGCCGCCTCGGGGCTTTGTTCGGGCCATTTTGCCGGGCCTTTTCGGCTATTCTCTACGTCAAATAGCCAACCACTTTTCTACTACAGCACCGGCCCCGGCCGGTAGTAGAAAAATCGTGGCATCTAGGCCCGTCTGGACGGCTTCTTGGACGGCTTTGGCGCTATTTTTGGCTGCCTCGGGGCTTTGTTCGGGCCCTTCTGCCGGGCCTTTTCGGCTATCTTCGACGTCGAATAGCCAACCATTTTTCTACTACAGCAACGGCCCCGGCCGGTAGTAGAAAAATCGTGGCATCTGGGGCCGTCTGGACGGCTTCTTGGACGGCCTTGGCGTTATTTTTGGCTGCCTCGGGGCTTTGTTCGGGCCCTTCTGCCGGGCCTTTTCGATTATCTTCTACGTCAAATAGCCAACCATTTTTCTACTACAGCACCGGCCCCGGCCGGTAGTAGAAAAATCGTGGCATCTGGGGCCGTCTTGGCGGCTTCTTGGACGGCCTCGGCGCTATTTTTGGCTGTGGCCACCGGCGAGCTCGGCCTGTGCGAATACTGTGCGTACCTGTGCAGTGCATGTGCGGGACGTGCACGAATGCCGGGGCCGGCGTTCGTCTCCGGACGCCGGCGCGTTCGCGTCCGGCCAGTTCCGCGTGAGACGTCGTCGGCAATCTGGAGGCCGACGTGCTTTGACATGAAGTGATCTGGCCACCTTCGCCTGAGACATCCTCGCAACTCTGGTCTCGGAGATGCCCTGCCCCATGGTGGCCCGGCCACTTTCGCTTGAGACATCCTCGGGACTCTGGGTTTCGAGACGCCCTGAGCTGAGGTGGTTAGACCACTTTCGCCTGAGACATCCTCGCAACTCTGACCTCAGAGATCTCCTGCCCCATGCTGGTCAGGCCACGGTCGCCTGAGACATTCTCGCAAGTCTCGATTCCGATATGCCCCGAGCTGAGGTGGTCAGGCACTGTCGCCTGAGACATCCTCGCAACCCTGATCTCAATGATGCCCTGCTCGATAGTGTCTCGGCCCCTTTCGCCTGAGACATCCTCGGAACTCGGGGTTCCGAGACGCCCTGAGCTGAGGTGGTTAGACCATTTTACCTTTGGATATCCTCGCCCGAGATGCCCTGAGTTGAGCTGTTCAGGCCACTTTTGCCTGAGACATCCTCGCAACTCTGACCTCAATGATGCCCTGCTCCATAGTGTCTCGGCCTTTTTCGCCTGAGACCCTCGCAACTCTGGGTTCTGAGATGCCCTGAGCAGGTGGTCAGGCCAGTCCTGCCTGAGACATCCTCGCAACTCTGGGCTCCGAGATGCCCTGGGCTGAGGTGGTCAGACCACTCTCCCCAGAGACATCCTCGCAACTCTGACCTCAGAGATCTCTTGCCCCATGGTGGTCAGGCCACTTTCGCTTGAGACATCCTCACAACTCAGACCTCGGAGGTGTCCTGCCCCATGGTCGTCTGGTCACCTTGACCAGCGACATCCTCGCCACTCTGGTTTCCAAGATGCCCTGCCCCATGGTGATCCGGCCACGCTTGCCTGAGACATCCTCGGAACTCTGGGTTGCGAAATGCCCCGAGCTCAGGTGGTCAGGCCACTATCGCCTGCGACATCTCTGCGGCATGTGCGGGCATGTGCGTCTATGCTTTCAGAGTTTTGCTTGACCGTGCATTCGACTGTGCGTCGGACGGTGTGGCATGTGCGCGCATGTGCGGCAATGCTGTTGAGGCTTTTGTATACTTGCATGGGCATGTGCATGCGACTGTGCGGCATGTGCCTGCATGTGCGGCCCCTTCCGGACCACAATTTCAAAGTGAGCACTATAGAAGTGAGCGCTATAGAAGTGAGTCCGGTGTAATAATAATAATAATGATAATAATGATAATTTTAATAATGGTAACACTAGCAATAATATTCATAGTGATAGGAGGAGGAGGAGGAGGAGGAGGAGGAGGAGGAGGAGGAGGAGGAGGAGGAGGAGGAGGAGGAGGAGGAGGAGAGGATGGAGAGGAGGAGGAGGAGGAGAGGAGGAGGAGGAGGAGGACGCCAGTTGGAGGAGGACCATCAGCTAGAGGAGGAGGAGGAGGAGGAGGAGGAGGAGGAGCAGGAGGAGGAGGAGGAGGAGGAGGAGGAGGAGTGAGGAGGAGGAGGAGGAGGAGGAAGGAGGAGGAGTGAGGAGAGGAGGAGGAGGAGGAGGAGGGGAGGAGGAGGAGGGGGAGGCGGGGGATGAGGAGTAGGGGGAGGAGGAGGGGGAGGATGAGGGGGAGGAGGGGGACGGTGATGATGGAATGGAGGATGATGATGATGGAGTGGAAGTGGTGAGGTTCGGCGTCGCGCACAAGGGAGGTGCCGCCAGGGGGGCGGCCTTGTAAGAAGACCTCGGACTTCTTAAAAGGCAGGGGCCTTCTTAGAAGCCTCGGGGCACCAGGGAGGTCTGTCCCTTCGAAGGAGGCCCCCCGGCCTTCCTGAAAGGCCGCCGCCTCGCGCCACCCCCTGTGCGCGCCGCCAAGAGGCGCAGGATGAGAGGGGGCAGAAAGAGGGGGAGGAGGAGGAGGAGGAGGAGGAGGAGGAGGAGGAGGAGGAGGAGGCGGAGGAGGAGGAGGAGGAGGAGGAGGAGGAGGAGGAGGAGGAGAAGGAGGAGGAGGAGGAGGAGGAGGCAGTGTAAACTCAAGAGTCATCAACGATGTTGGAATGACCCCTTCCTCCAAGCTCCCTCTTTCTTTATTGGCCCCTACAACGGTTCATTTAAACTGAGGGAACTGCCTCGTTGGAAGACAACCGTTTGAAGATTCCGGAGAATGCCAAATCATCATTCTCGGGACTCCAACGCCACGGGTCAACCTGACTGTTGCGTCTTGACGATCCTGAGTCGTGCCAACACGCCATTCTCGGGAGGTTAACACCACGAACCAACGTAATTGTTACGCCCTCACAGACCTGAGTCTTTTCAAAACACTGTTTCTGGTACGTTGATCATGGAAACTCGTGAAACTCTTGAAACGAGCCGCCCTCAATCCGTGAAAGGCTTGCAACTTATTCATACGAATGCGTGCGGCGCTACGGCGAGAGCCACATTTTGAAAACCACCTGCCCTCATGCAGTGAAAGAGAGCCTCGCAATGTTTGAAAGCGAATGTGCGCGGTGCTGAGGCGAGGGCGACATTTTGAAAACCACCCGCCCTCCATTTGTGAAACTGTTGTCAATTTTGGAGCTTTGGGTTATACATAGTGAGGAAATCTCAGGCGAAACGCCCGGGACGCCCTTCCGACCAGCCTCGGGGTGCGACAGGACAAAGTTGTTCATTAGGACAAGGAATGGGGATGAGGAGGATGAGGAGGAGGTGGAGGAGGAGGAGGAGGAGGAGGAGGAGGAGGGGGAGGACGTGGAGGAGGGGGGGGGGAGAGGGAGGGCGAGGGCGAGGAGGAGGAGGAGGAGGAGGAGGAGGAGGAGTAAGGTGAGGAAGAAGAGGAAGAGGAGGAGGAGGAGGAGGAGGAGGACGAGGAGGAGGAGGAAGTGGAGGAGGAGGATGGACAAGAAGAAGGAATAATGCATGCAGGAGGAAACTGCTGATGCGGAGGAGGGGGAGGAGGAGGGGGAGGGGAAGGAGGAGGCAGCCCCCCCACGCCCGGCAGTCGCACCAGTGGCAACGCGCCCTCAGCGTGCTCTTCTCGGGCGCTCTGCGGCCGACCGTCGTCACCTTCGGCGCCGCCATGGGCGCGTGCGAGAAGGCCCCGGGCGCTGTGGTGGTGCGGGACTTGCCGTTTTCGGATTTTTGGGGGTTCTCGCCAAGCCTGGGGGCCGTCAAAAGACGACTCATGGCGAAAGGCCAGCCCTGGGGACCCCGCACTGAGAAGGTCCAGACATCGGATGTCTGGGGGTGATGATGCTGATGATGCTGATGATGATGGTGATGTTGATGATGATGCTGATGATGATGCTGATGCTGATGCTGATGATGATGCGGATGATAATGCTGATGGCGGTGATGGTGATGGCGATGGTGATGATGATGAGGCGGAGGAGGAGGAGGATACTAATGATGATGCTGTTGCTGCTGATGATGCTGGTGCTGATGGTGATGCTGATGCTGATGCTGCTACTGATGATGATGATGATGCTGATGATGATGATGCTGATGATGACGATGATGATGATGATGGTGATGATGGTGATGCTGGTGATGATGGTGATGCTGATGATGATGCTGATGCTGTTGCTGATGATGATGCGGACGATGACGCTGATGGCGGTGATGGTGGTGGTGATGGTGATGATGAGGGTGAGGCGGAGGAGGAGGATACTGACGATGATATGATGATGCTGATGCTGCTAAGGATGCTGGTGCTGATGTTGATGCTGATGCTGATTCTGCTGCTGCTGCTGCTGAAGATGATGATGATCATGATGCTGATGATGATGTTGATGATGAGGATGATGATGATGATGCTGATGATGATGATGCTAAGGATGGTGATGGTGATGCTGATGCTGACCATGATGCGAATGATGATGCTGATGGCGGTGATGGCGATGGTGATGGTGATGATGAGGATGAGGCGGTGGTGAAGGATACATATGATGATGCTGATGCTGCTGATGATGCTGGTGCTGATGGTGATGCTGATTCTGATGATGCTGATGATGCTGATGGTGCTGATGCTGATGATGATGATGCTGATGATAATGATGATGATGATGATGATGATGATGATGATGATGATGATGATGATGATGATGATGATGATGATGATGATGATGATGATGATGATGATGATGATGATGATGATGATGATGATGATGATGCTGATGATGCTGATGATGATGATGACGATGATGATGATGATGATGATGATGATGATGATGATGATGCGGATGATGATGCTGATCGCGGTGCTAGTGATGGTAATGGTTATGGTGAGAATGAGGTGGAGGAGGAGGATATCGATGATGATGCTGATGCTGCTGACGATGCTGGTGCTGATGCTGATGGTGATGCTGATGCCGCTGCTGATGATGATACGCTGATGATGATAACTCTGATGATGATGCTGCTGATGCTGCTGATGCTGATGAGGATGCTGATGCTGATGGCGGTAATGGTGATGGTGATCGGGATGATGAGGATGAGGCGGAGCATGAGGATACTGAGGATGGTGCCGATGCTGCTAATGATGCTGATGCTGATGGTGATGCTGATGCTGATGCAGCTGCTGCTGCTGATGATGATGATGCTGATGACACTGATGATGGTGCTGATGATGCTGATGAGGATGAGGATGAGGATGAGGATGATGATGATGATGATGATGATGATGATGATGATGATGATGATGATGATGATGATGATGATGAGGGTACGAATACGGATTAGGAGGCGGAGGATGATGATGAGGACGGGGATGAAGCTGATGTTGATGATGATGTTGATAATGACGATGCTGCTGATGCTGATGTTGTTGATTATGACGATACACTGACGAAGGTGCTTATGTTGATTATGAGGATGATGTTGACATGATGCTGCTGATGAGGATGATGATGATGCTGATGGTGGTGGGGCTGGTGATGCTGATGTCGATGCTGATGCTGATGCTGATGATGCTGATGATGCTGGTGATGCTGCTGATGATGACGACGGTGATGATGCTGATGATGCTGAGGGTGGTGGTGGTGGTGATGATGCTGCTGATGATGATGGTGCTGATGCTGATGCTGCTGATGATGATGATGATGAGGCTGCTGATTATGATGCCGATTATGCTGATGATGATGATGCTGGTGCTGATTATGCTGATGCTGATGATGATGCTGAAGCTGATGATGATGCTGATGATGATGGTGATTTCGATGCTGCTGCTGCTGATGATGATGCGGCTGGTGCTGATGATGATGCGGCTGAGGATGATGATGACGACTATGATGATGCTGATTATGATGCGTATTATGCTGCTGCAGATGATGATGCGGATACTGATTATGCTGGTGCTGATGCTGGTGATGCTGAGGATTAGGTGGAGGAGGATGATTCTGATGATAATGATGATGATGATGCTGATGACGACGACGACGACGACGACGACGACGACGACGACGACGACGACGACGACGATGATGATGATGATGATGATGCTGATGCTGATGCTGATGATGATGATGATGATGA